ACATATTGCAAAATTCACGCCCACGGACGGAAACATATCGATAAGTGCATACAAAAGTATTTGTGAAAATGTCTGGTCAACGTGTCAATGTGAATGCCGCTGAAAAGGATGTGGAGAAGTTTATAAAATTTTTGGTGTTGAAGTCAACTCAAGTGGTTGTTCAGTCGCGCTTAGGTGAAAAAATACAGACTCCATGTAATCCACTCGCTACTAATAGTGATTGGTTCAACATAGTTATACAGGATCATCCTGATATTTACGCTGAAACGAAGCGTGCTTTAGCACTAGAACCAGGCCAAAGTATATTAAAGCGCTTGCCATTATGTGTGGAAATTTCGCTACGAACTGTAGAAGGAGATCAAATGGTGCTGGAAGTTTGGTCGTTAGATATGCAATTACCTGGATGTCATAAATATTGTAAAGACGACATATGCGAAGTACTCATAAAGAATGCAGAAAACGGAAAGGGAGGCGCTGCAAACGGCACTGGAGCACCTTTATCAGAGCAGCAAACATTGAAAGCAGCGCACGCCATATACAATCGAATGGGCATATTATTGAAATCTCTAATCTCGTTAACGCGTGCAACTCCTGGATACAAATTATCGCGACGTCAATGCCCAGAAATTTATGGGATTTACTATCGTATATATGTGGATCGGCCACAGCTACATACATTGGGCGAAGGCCATAAAAATGTTAAAATCGGGCATTTAAACACAATAGTTGGTACCTTAAGCATGTCAGTTTCTTATCGTACCAAAATGACGATCACACCCACTGCAGCTGATACACACAATGGCGAATGCAATACAATTATGCTAAAATCTGATCATTTTAGGCGTGCTGATTCTTCGCCAACACAAAACGTGTCATTAAATGGCTTGAAAAGAGGCAACGGGACTAATGGCGAACGAAAAATTGTTGATATTGAGAAGCCATTGCGTCCAGGAGCATTCACTGATGTCGGAAAGCTGCGCCAATGGACTGAAAAAGATTATGTTTTACCAGAAACACCACCTTTCGAATGGTTATTACGACGTCCACGCCACGAGAGTGGAGGGTCTGCTGGTTCAGTAGAGTCATTAAATAGAAAAAGCGACGGTAGCGCAATAGCACCAAACACATGTAATGGACAAGAGCAATGTGTGCAAAACAACAATGATGGTACCGGCTGTAGCGCGGACAACAACACAAAAGCTATAAATAATAACAACGTTATGGCGTTTAAGAGTTTAGAGAATGGGCCAAATGGTATGCAGCCGAAATCTCCAACTGATTCTGCAACGCTGTCTCAGTCGCCTATAAAAAGTCTTCTTATACCTGCCCCCACAACATCGCGTCACAGTACAACGCAAACTCATCAACAATCACGTCGCCCAGATGATGATAGCTTGCTCAAGGAGTTAAATTTTCCTTTTGCCTTACCCAATTCACATGTGAATGACTTGGCGAAATTTTATCGGGATTGTTATCATGCGCCGCCACTACTCGGATTAAACGAAACACAGCCGGAGGCAGCGGTGGAACAATTAGAGGAATTTGAAACATCTTTAGAAGACTACGACGAACTAGTTTCGCAACTAGGATTAAGTACATCATCTTCTACGGGTAGCCGCAGCAGCGGTGGCTTGCAAATGAGCAACTAATATCAACTAAATGGGGTAAAAGACCAATGGATACTAGTATAAGTACATTCATATATAAATAATAGATAGTTACATAGAAAGAGTGTAAGCACGAAAGCCGAAGAACTATTCATTAGAATTACGAACAAACGACTAGGCTTGCATTTCTTTAATTTTGCATTATTTATTATTAATTTTTTATGAACATAAGTTTTACATATGTTTATATGTAATGTATGTACATATATAATGAGACTTATTTATTAAGTGTTTACATTTAATAAATTCATAATTATTGTTAAATTGAAAATATTAAAACAATTTGTTATGGAAACAAACACTGTGTGCAGAAAACTTTAGCACGATACTTTTGCTCATATCATAAAATGAATATCTTTTACACACGTAAACATGTATGTACGTAGTACACTACATTTATGCGCAAATATATGTGTGTATTTGCGAAATCGGTGTC